GCAGAATCCGAAGCAGGCTCCAGGCTCTGAGCTGTCAGCAGAGAACCCAACGTGGGGCTCAAACTCACAAACCGTTAGATCATGACCTGAGCCGAAGTCGGACGCTTAACCGACTGAGCCCCCCGGGCGCCCCTACACGTGTGGCAGTTTTTCTAGTCTGCAGAACTCCATTTGCACATAGGTCATCGTGCGCTGCTGTGAAGGGGGGGGAGGGTACTACCCCCATTTGACGGTGGGAAAACGGGGCTCAGAGAGGTGGGAAAAACTGGCCCATGGTCACACAGCAAATCAGAGGTGGCAGGAGCCCCTGGGTCTGTCTGACTCAGGGCCCCAGCCTTTTCCACATGCCAGCTACCCATGAGTCAAGCCGCGCAATCAATCCCCTGACATTTCAGACCCAGAGACCTCCCGGCTGAAACCCTGGCCGACGGTGCACGCTCGAGGCCCAGGCCAGGCAGACGGTGGTGCTGACATTTGGGTGAGCGGCCCTTTCCCACCCCGGCTCGCCAGCTCAGGGAGGGTCCCGGCAGCCTTCTGACTCTCCAGTGAGTCAGGTGGTGACTCAGGGCCGAGCTCTGGGCTGGGTGAGGGGCTGAGTCAGGGAGCACCAGGTTCCACAGGGCAGCTGGCTCTGAGCCAGGGCCCCTCATGAACCACGGACGTCAGCACTGGGGACAGTCTTTCTGGGCAGACCCTGCCAGCCTGCCCTGCCCCGACCCTGGCCCGCCGGGCCTGATAGCTGCTCCCGCCGGCCTGACCCTGAGGCCTACACGTCCATCATTCCTTTGGATTCTTGATGGGAAGCAGAGCCGTGCAGAGTCTGGAAGTGTGGACGATCATTTATGGATGTCACAAAGATTGGGGGCCACTACCTACTAATATTTAGGGACAAAAACACCAAATGTCCTGTAATTTGCCAGACAGCCTGGACCACAAAATGCTGTCACACCCAAGATGCCAACGGTGTCCCCACTGAGGAGCCCCCTGGTTAAGCACTGCCCCCTCCCTGAGCTCTCTCCCAAGGAGGAGGGGAGGAAGGGAGGTTTCTGGCCAGGGAAGAATCCAAGAGCCTGCATCACCTGATCAAAGACACCCCCCCACACACACA